TGTAAAAGTGCGAAGCTAGACCGAGCTGTCTGTAGCAAGCAAGTATACATATCTATTCTAGCCGCATAAATTCTCCTACTAATGTTTTTGGTACTACGCGTAAATATCACTTGTCCAACTTACAACAAATTAACTGACTGTTTACAATAAATCTGTCGAGTATCGACTCTTGCTGTTTGTTCTATTTTTCGTCCTTGCCCTTTACGTCTCATATAATTTCCACTCTTCCGGTTACGCTTATACTTGCATTGTTTTAGGCCACTTGATTGATTGTAATTGTAACCAATTTCTATTAAATTTACAGCTCAAAAGAATTATAATTTGAAATCATGTTTTCAAAACAGTAACAATGGGGGATGGTAAGTAGCTTAATTAGTTTTAACCGATATTTTTTTGTTTGTAAAGTATGCATATTACCAACTGAGTTTTTAATAGCATGTATATGTTTATTCATTCATTATATTTTATATATTGCACAAAACTTTAACTTACTTCAAAACATTTGTTTTTGGACCATAGTTTTAGAAAAAGAATAAAAATGACGATTAAAGTCCTTTCAGTCATGTACAGGCTTGTACACGACAAGAACGTTTTAAAAATAAATGCAACATTATTACGTAAGCCACGTTTTTGGCTTCGGAGGTTTTGGCGGGAACTTGGCCGTCGACGGATTGTCGCTCTTGTTTTGTCACTTGAATAATGGTTTGAAGTGGATTTTGATTCGTAAAAGTGATGCGATTTTGTGAATTAAGTGCCTGCGCGTGTGAACTATTAGAAAAAAACGACGAAACAAATGCTTTGATGTTGATATAAGTTATTTAGATCGCTTGGGCGCCTTATGAACTTAAGTGGCTGTCGTCATTAACTGTCACTGAGCAGTCGTTAAAATCTCCCAAAAACTTCGCAATGTGACGCATCAGCATATTGTGAAGAATAAATATATAAAAACGAAGATTACGAAAGAAATGATAGGCTCAGAAGGGGTAGAACCCAGAGCCGTAAAGCTAGTTAAATAAAAAAATGATCTCTGATATTAACCTTGTTTTACTGTTACGTGTAAATGTTTGTACCATTTTCTTACGTTGTTGTGTATATTATATTATTTAATTTTGTTACTCGTATACTGTCTTTCTTTTTGACATCTCAATTTTAGTCTAGTAACTCATTTTTCATTTAACTTAGGGAGTATGTGTGGTCTGCAACAAAACAAAACATTACTTCTCCATATTAAATGATCCATCTTCGCCTTCTTATCTTAAGAGTAAATTTCATTATCTTTCTTCATCTCATGATAGGGTCCTACGCTCTTCTTCTAACAACAAAATCTGTACTCCAGTTCACTTCTCCGAGTTCTATGGTAACTCCTTCACAATTCAGGCTACACGCCTTTGGAACTCCTTGCCCGATGACATCAGAAAAGCTCCCAATAAGTACGCTTTTAAAAAATTGGTCCGTGATCATTTCTTAAAGACAATGCATTTTACATGACTCCTCTATTTAATATGTATTGCCAAACAGACGTATATATTCATAGTCATTTGTATTTACTAATTATGTATGTATTTAAATATATATATATATATATATATATATATATATATATATATCTTGTATGTATATCCATTTATTTATATATTTGTATATATGTAAGGATAGATCATATATGTATAGTTTATTTATTAGTAGTTTGTATATATTATGCAGTTAATTATCATTTGTATAGTGTTCTCTTATTGCCACACCTACATCAAATTCTCACCACTCCATAGGTTGACTGGTAGAGAATGCCTCAAGGCATTAAGTCCGCCCTTTGTATTCTTTTGTTTAAGGATGCAATAAAGAATTAAATAAATAAATACTCTAAGACACTTCTTCGAAATGTAAAATAATCGAGGACCGTTTTACATGGCACATAAATTAACATAACAACACGATTTGCTCTGTAAAGGTTAATTTATTTAGACGCGCGCGTAATATCCAAATAACAGGTGGCGTATCAAGCATTAGTAATTCGGCGAGATCGACTCTAGTATATTTCGAGTGGTTTTCAAAGAACAGTGTGATTCACGAGGTTTTCGAGCGACGTCGGCGTCGGCGTGAAGTCGAAGGCATCGGAGTATTTTTACTTTCCTTTGAGAATAGAATCGAGTCTATTAATTACAATGACGCACTTCCCGCCCTGTGTTCCGACTCCAGTCAAAACCGAGACGATCAAACTTCAATAACATCTGTTTTATGTACTGGATCCTCGCTCACTTGATAATACTATCGCATTTTTATCGTAGTTTTTTAAATGTTTCAATTTTGTATTTCATATAAAAGTTGTATTATAGGGAAGAGTGTTAACAGAACGAATCAACCATATCTAATTCTAAATTACCATAAATATGTAGATACATCACCAAATATAATTAAGATATTATTACAAATGTTCATCATTGTTATGACTATTAGATAGTTAGTTACACCCTATTTACGTCGCATTGCTGGGTACATGCCTCTCATTTCTTCAGAATTTTAAGGCAAAGTGTACGCCGCGCTACCCCAATGCTTGTTGGCGAACTTTTTTCTCTTATTTCTCAGACATGCAGGTTTCCTCACGATGTTTCCCTATACGAACATGTAGTAAATCATCACTTAAAATTGCAATTAAAAATTTCATTGGTGCTGGCGGGTATCGAAGCTAGGTTGTTCGCGAGCTGTGAAATTTACAGTGACCGCTAACCATCTGAGGTACCACGGCTACTATTATAATACACATAATAATAAAAGCTAATATCATCATAAATAGAACATTATATATCATTATCCATTTATACCAGCAATATATCTTTCTAATTCATGTTTCTAATGAATATAAAAACATTTAGAGAGAAATCATTGTTTCACACTTCATGTGTGTAATGTTAAGATTATCAAAATAAGAAGAGTCATGTATTTCCAAAAAGAAATATTATTGATTAAAACTACTTTTACGGATCTGTCTGTCATTGATTTATATTTCTACATTAAATGAACTGAATTTTATATATCGAATAGATTGTAGGTCACAGCACACTTCTAGTCTAGCGAGAGGAATCGGCAGCATTAAACATTAAACGCACAAGTTTTTCTTTATTGATCGGTTGTACCTTTTTACGTGCCATCACTATTAATAAACTATTGTAAACGTTAATGCGTTACGCTATTTTAGTTTAATTTGTGGAAATGTTTTGATATTATAACAAATTGTTACCACTTAATCAAATTAAAAGTTTATATGGTTTAAAATTAAGCACCTAGCTGTTTTTTTTTTTGTTAGATATATGTGCCGAATGACGCATACTAAAGTGGTATGGTTTATACTTTTTTCCGTACGTTTTTAATTGAAAATATTTATTATACCACTACTATGGCGGCAGTAGTTGATTAGTGTGGAAACTCATATGTTCTACCTAATTCCGCTATTATAGCTTAACAAATCTTTTTTTTTTGTTATTTAGCTTATTATATCAGTTATATCTTTACTATTACTTTGCTCATGTACACCTTATACATCATGTTAACTTTATCATACACGAGGCCACGCTGGACATGATCGTTGGCAGGCGGATTGCCGATTGCAGTCCAGACGTCCTGCAACTTTGTCTGTAATCCCTAAGGTGTAGACAATGAGCAGCGAGCTACTCTGACCACGTTTAACCCAAAAGAAATGTTTTTAAACGGAAAATTGTGAACAAAAGTACCTAATTGGTGTATAGCTCATTGCTTACACAATCACCAATCCGATATCCCATGAGACGCCCTTTTACGACAGGCGAGTAACACAGGTGGCAGCTTCTTTATTGTCATAGGTTTCACATAAATATGGCGCCTACAAGACCAACATGGGACTTACAAAAGTTACACATAAAGAAATGGGTTTTGGATTCCCTTACTCCACCACCACTCGAAAAATAGTGACAGTCGACTATTGGTAATACCAGGAGTGTCTTGTGGTCTCTAATAGGGAGAGCCTGAGTAGAGAACGAGAAGTTTTACGGGTAAAAATAAATTGCGTGTTCTTCGTCGTGTTCACAAAATGTGCGCTGGGTTAAGTCTCGTTCTCTATTCGAAAAATGTCAATTCACTGTTTGCACCTGAATACCCATACTATTATTTACGCAGCGCAAATATTTAAAAGAACGAAGGTCAAGGTGAAGCCAACATCGTAAATCCCGTTCGCTGAATGAGTTAAATTTATTAACATCTGTATACTTCTTACAACGAATTTTTTTTTTTTAATTTTCGATTGTTTGTGATTTGAATATTGCCAAAAGTCGTCGACAAATAGTGATATCATAGAAGAAAGAGTGACGAAGAGAACGAGCATTCTACCCTTGTAGATTGTGGTAAATAGATGCTATTCCAATTCCAATATAATTCCATTATAGATACCTTCAACGGTACTCTATTAAGAGTTGAAATTCAGATCCTCCGTTTGGACTAAGATCTAATAAAATGATCTGCTGTTCTTATCCGTCACGTACAATACACAGCTGCATTATTTTATATTTTATTTAAAAAGCTTAAAAGTAGCACCTTGAACTTAAGGGTACGTAGGGCGGACTTAATATGGTACCATGTGGCATTCTCTGCCAGTCAACCCTGGGTGCCAAAGACAAGTTGGCAGGATCGAAACATAATATTTATATGAAGTGTACACATATTAAAATACATATACATAGTACGTACATACATATTAAAATTTACATGCATATGTACAATGCTTATAAATAATAAATATTTGGAAAAAAAATCATTCTGCTATTTCAAGCTGGTGTTCTGTGCGAAAGAGGTCCCTCCCTTGACGAGCCGACCAGTTCGTGCTGCACCTTTAAACGTTACAGCGTGGCTCCACTGCGCTTATCTCTCAATTATCTACGTATAAATAAAAAATATATATAGATCTATATTATCTAATAATCTACCTTCAAATGTACTTACATACGACCGAGTTTCACAAAAATCCCTATTTCCAGGATTTGTCTGCCGCGGACGCGGAGGGTGTATGGAGCCCGGACATCGAGCAGAGCTTCCAGGAGGCGCTGGCTATTTATCCACCATGCGGTCGTCGCAAAATTATTCTCTCCGACGAGGGCAAGATGTACGGTGAGTCCGTACATGCTAGAGGAACTTTATCTCTAAAACTGTTTTATCTGACGATTAGTGCTACTGCTACAACCATAATAGCTATAGCGTGGCTCCTCTACCACGTGCCAAAAAAAGGGAAAACTAAAAATCATTAACCAAATGATTCCTTGATAAGTTGTTCCTTTCTAAGCTACCTATTTCTATATGAATGTAAAACATCATTAAATATGTAATGAAAATGTAATGTATAAAAATTTATGTCATCAGATAGCGGTAAAACATTGTCATTATAGCTTGCATTTGCGCTAAGGTTATATACCATAGGCCATAGTACAATAATTATTACTTACAGTAGGTGCGCGTATCGTACCAACTTTATTTAAAAGTTATATATAATTCAACTTCAAAGAACTTTAATGAGTGTATTACCGTTCCTAATTAAACAATATAACTTCCAAATTTAAAACGAAATTTCCACAAGTGGCTGCAACACGCCCGGAATCGTCTAGTTAATAAAACCATGCAAATAATCTGACACCTTTTAGTAATGATTTCTTAAATTTACGCGAACACTACACATTGAATAAAACTATTTATACGGATTTTGTCGCGTTTAATTAACTGATTTTAACTTATTTTTAATTCCCGAACGTTTAGTTAGGTATACATATTGAAGTTGTTAGGCGAAGGTTTAGACGATCGTTACGGTTTGTGTTTCAATTTTCAACAGTTCAATATGTATGGATAGTCCGTATTGCTTGAATATACTTAGAACCACTATAGACGTTCAATCTAGTCAATAATTATAATCTAGTCTATTCGGCTGTGTTTCGATTTCGCACTGCTTATATTATGTAAAAAATTATTTCTAAAACGAAAATTAAAGCTTGTTTAGCTACTGTCTTAACAAAGACTAACTACTGCTCTGTTTAGAAAGGAGAATAAAAAGAAAGCTATGAACAAAGAAAATAGCTATAACACAGAGAAAAGTCAGACTGAGAAAACAGAAGAAAGAAAACTATTTATTAAAAGAAAAGGAAGTTGTTAGATCCGAGTACTTTTTAGTTTTTAATTAAAATGAATTGTGTGTTTTAATTTTTAATTTCCAAAATATTTTAGTCTCATTACCGATACAAATTTTTCTTAAATAAAGATCGCTCAATATTTTGCAGCTTAACTGTGTCGTAAGAATAACCCCTGTCTAGCTCTGGATATTACAACTTGTTTTTTAATTGTTTTCTATGAAATTAACTACTTTCTTTTGACATTTACTCATTTGATCTTTCAATCATTCGGATATCACCATACAGGTAATGATAGTATTACCTGGATTATGATATATAATGATAGAATTATAGATTAACGTAACGTACGTTACGTTACGTTAATCTATAATTGTTCTCAGATAGCGTGGTCATGATTAGCAGAATATTGAGATGTAAACAAAACATAGATTAGGATTAAAAGCTGCTTAGGAAAAAACTCATTCCTTTAAATTAAATTAAGATATCTATGCCATGCTGCAGTTATATTAGTAGTATAGTTGTAGCACGAATGGGTCGGCTCGACCGGGGAAGGACCACGCTCTCACAGAATACCAGCGTGAAATGGTAGCTTGATGCTGCTGTGTTTCGTATGGTGAGTGTAGAGAACCGGAGACCCTTTTTACTGGAAATGAGGCATTCCATCTTAGTCCTCACGGGTGACAACGCATCTGCATTTTGATTTGTAATCGAAGATAGATGTAGATGTCTATGGGCCGCAGCAACCACTTGCCATCAGGTGGACTGTGTGCTCGTTTGTCTCCCTATCCTATAAAAAAATGTAGTTTTCAACTTTTGATCGAACATTACCTACTTTAAATTCTGTTGGAAATAATATTGTTTGATATTAGATAAGTGTCAAGGCCGTCTCTCCGCCATCACACTGGCTTTTCCGCCGTTCTGTCCTGGCCCTTCTAAAGATTTGTATATCTATAACATACTTTCAACCTTTATAATAGCATAATAGCACCTATAACCCTTTATAATAGCATAAAGTAATAAAAATGAAACAAGTAATCAAGATTGTCTTTACATTCACAACGACCTACTCAGCTCTATAAAAATACAGTTTCTCTTTTCAAAATATAGTGCTCAGTGCCTGTGAGGCATCAGTTCGCTCATTCTCAATACTCATTTGTCAAATAAAAACCGGCCAAGAGCTTGTCGGGCCACGCTCAGTGTAGGGTTCCATAGTTTCCCGTCCGTCACAATAAGTGTTCCCACTTTTGAGTTTGTACAAAAACTGTTGTTTCCATCCAAGTTCAAAATGATTTTCCTAGAAAGTCCTTATAAAGTTCTACTTTTCAGATTTTTTTCATATTTTCTAAACTTATGGTTCAGAAGTTAGAGACGACACATTGTTTTTTACTTTTGGAGCGATTATTTCCGAAATTATTGACATTATCAAAAAATGATTTTAGTAAACCGCTATTCATTTTTAAATACCTTTCCAACAATATATCACACGTTAGGGTTGAAATTAAAAAAAAAAATCACTTCCCACTTTACATATAGGGCCCCTAATAAAACATTTTTTTCCAATTTTTATTTTACCCATTGAAATAATACTAGTTTTTACGGAATTTATCGCGTATATTTAACTTTTTAATTACCCGACGTTTCGAGAGCTTTACAGCACCCATGGTCACGGGAAGGGCTGAGATGTTCAACGTCCAGCTGTCATAGTTAACCGCGGTTACCATAGATTAAAATTTAACTTTTGTCCGATCTACACAGTATGAACTTATGGTATCATGGAGTCTTGCAGTTGTATGCTTGGGTTGGGATTTAATTTTATTTATTATAGGATCCCAAGCAGATGGTAGCACCCAGCCATCTTCTCTATTGAAATTAGGATGTTTTTTGATTTCAATATGCTAGCTGATGTGAAGAATCGACGCTCCGGGAAGTCTGCAGTCTGTGAACATGTACAGGATCGCCCCCCGTCACTACATCAGATTTGATAGACCACAAATCCTCCCTAAAGAACACCGATTCCTTCCAAGGATGATTCGCGAGGCTATTGAAATCAAAAAACATCCTAATTTCAATAGAGAAGATGGCTGGGTGCTACCATCTGCTTGGGATCCTATAATAAATAAAATTAAATCCCAACCCAAGCATACAACTGCAAGACTCCATGATACCATAAGTTCATACTGTGTAGATCGGAACAAAAGTTAAATTTTAATCTATGGTAACCGCGGTTAACTATGACAGCTGGACGTTGAACATCTCAGTCCTTCCCGTGACCATGGGTGCTGTAAAGCTCTCGAAACGTCGGGTAATTAAAAAGTTAAATATACGCGATAAATTCCGTAAAAACTAGTATTATTTCAATGTGTAGTGTTCGCGTAAATATAAGAAATCATTTTATTTTACCACTTTGTCGGCGTGATTGATACACATATTGGTACCAAATTTCAGCTTTCTAGTGCTAACGGTCACAGAGATTAAGTGAGGACGGACAGACGGACTGAAAGACGTGGCGAAACTGTAAGGGTTCCTAGTTGACTACGGAACCCTAAAAAGCAAACCTGGATACGTACTTTAACAAGTATTTTTGTCATGTAACCATAGAATTTCTATGCATGTAACGAATTGGATGGTTTTAGATTTATTATGACGGGTTTCGTAAATTAAGTAACACGTTGTAATATTAGTCAATTGATTATCTTGTACGTTGCCACTAATTTAATTTCATTGCTTACTCATCGACTCGTCCGTATTATGAAATGACATCAAGGTCGTCCTAAAATGAACAATGGTCGTGGCACGAGACAAAAGACGCGGTAGGTATTGATGGGTGCCGACAAAGCGGTTTGCGCAATAGGATTCCACGGAAAGACGTGAACCGACAATTATTATCTCCCGATCGCTCCGTGTCGCCAATTCGAGGAAGTTGAGAGGATTCGTTTTGCTTTTGTCCCCTCTTCACTATTAACTGAACATAGGACAAAATAACTCTTGATAAGGAGAGAAAATAGCAAGGGGAAGTACTTTAGAGAACTTCAAGGGTGGAAACTGTCTTTAAATAAAATTATTTACATTAAAGTTTATGAGTATAAGCAACGTTCAACAGTATAAAATAACTGTTTCATATAATTACAGTACAGTAGTTAATTTAATTTTAATATAAATTAATTATTAAGCCAATCCTTCTACAATAATGGAACAGGCCCATTTCCAATGCAGTGGACTAATTACGGAAAATTATTATGTGCAATTTCGAGAGGGCGTAATAAACCTCAAATGTGTTATTCCGAGAATGCGTATTGAGTCTCAATAGAATAGACCATGCTAAAGACAAAGCGATTTCGTGTTATTTTATTAAAAACACATATACGAGTACATATGTATGTAGTTTGCTTTACAACTATGTACAACTATGTAGCAGTGGACTTGCGGTGATGAGATACTTTTTATACGTGATTGTTGATCTGGTGGTGGGACTCCTTGTGTACGTAGGGGTACGCCCTTGTTTTTATCCATTTCCTTTGCTAAATAGCAGTGATTGCACTGCTGTGTTCTGGTGAGGAGGGCATAGAGAGCCAGTATAATTATAATTATTTAATATAGTAAAAATAAAGAATAAAATAAATATATAATAAACCAAAAGATATTTACTCGCTTCCCCTGACACCCTGTAAAAAAGTGAAAATTAAAGATTCTACTTACACTGTGTGTACAAACACGCACACACGCAAGCACGCACGCACGCACGTACGCACGCACGGACTCACGCGTGAAACTTTCATATTACTTTTCTTGCTTTAATGTTAAGTAGTACTCAGAGTGGAAGACGCAGGTAGCTGTGACACCGTTAATACTGGTATAGCTGCCGTCGTTAACCTCTCAGTGAAACTATCCTATAATTGATTTTGAAATTACGACTTTAGTGTACGTTAAGTTTCTAATGTTATAAAGGAGTGAATAAAAAAGTTATTATTATTATTGTTATTAAAAAATGCAGGG